TATTCCATCTGGTGGGTTCCATATGTGTAGCTGCCACTTGTATTGTTGAAAAAAGGTACTTTCAATGAATATATCATTGATCTTGCAAAATTCTATAATGTGATCTACAGTGTCATTCCCATCACCAAGGCCATACTCTCCTATCACTGAGGCCATATTTTCCAACTACCAATGATTCTTCATTTCCAACTTTCACATTTCAATCACCAGTAATAATCAATACATCTTGATCGCATGTTTGGTAAATTTCAAACAACATAAACTGGTAAAAATCTTCAATTTCTTCATCTTTGGCTTTAGTGGTTGGTGTATAAATTTGAATAATAGTAGTATTAACTGCTCTTCCTTGTAAGCATATGGATAGTTTCCTATCACTGACAACATCGTACTTCAGAATAGATCTTGAAATATTCTTTTTCTTGATGAATGTGATGCTATTCCTCTTCAGTTTGTCATTCCCAGTATAGTAGACCATATGTTTGTCTGATTCAAAATGGCCAATACCAGTCCATTTCACCCCACTAATGCCTAGGATATTGATCTTTATGCATACCATTTTATTTCTGACAACTTTCAATTTTCCTAGATTCATACTTCATATGTTCTACATTCTGATTATTAATGAATGTTTGCAGCTGTTTCTTCCCATTTTGAGTCATGTCCCTTCAGCAAATGAAGATCCTGAAACCTTTATTCTATCTATATCATTAAGATTGACTCCACTTTGAGGGGGCAGCTCTTCTCCAGTAGCATTTTGAGTGCCTTCTAACCCAAGGGGTTCATCTTCCAACACTATATCAGACAATATTTTATGGCTAGTCATAAAGTTTTCCAGTAATATATCAGACAGTGTTTCACTGCTATTCATATTTCACTGGCAAATTTTTTCAGAAGTGGATGGCCCCTTCCTTCTTCCCAGTCTGTCTTAGTCTGGAAGCTCCAATGAAACCTGTCCACCATGGGTGACCATGCTGATATTTGAAATACTACTGGCATAACCTCCAGCCATGGTGACATGTAAGCCACCACAGTATGACAAATGGACAGATGAGTTTTTTCAGCTGTACTACCTTGACTTTTAAGCTAATATTTAGGACAGTGTCTGATGTGCACCCAATAAGTCTTAGCTGCTATTAACCTGCAGGGAATGGTTGCTGCAAGCAATTCCTTTAATTTAATTGGGAATTCTTGCAAAGTGAGAATGCCTAGTCTACACAGTGCTTACAAATATAATGAAATCTTAATAATGTTAAATTTAACATTTAATGAAGATGACATAATAATACATTTTGTAGACATTTAATTAAACACTTATTGCTTCTGTGTTTTAATATTATTAGCCTTTTTTTTTCTTTCAAATCTCCCATATTTTTATTGGCCCTTGAAAATTCCATAAGCCCTAGGCACTATGTTGTGATGATGAGTAAAATAGCACTGGCCAAGGTTCTACACATTTGGGAAATGTTACTCAAAAGCAATTCAAAGATAGAGGAATAAGGCAAAATTCCAGATATCATTAATAAGCCAAAGTTCTTAAATTAATGACATTTTAATTCTAAAATGTTCAGTCTTCCTAGCTATGAGTTATGTGTCCAAAAAACAAATAAAGTTTTGACCTCAATGCTTAAAATGGACAAAACACTATTTAATATTTCAAAAGATTTGGATTTCAAATATTGTTATTTAGAAAAACCTTTAAGAAGAAACATTATGAATGTACATATTATTTTTAAACTTTAAGGAAGTGATTCTTAAGGTGTGGCAAATAGTAGACCATAGGACAAAAATATTTTCAGACACAGAACAAATGAAAAAAAGAACATTATTTTTCTTTTTCACTGTGTTGACATTTTCACTGATAGTATAAAAGCAGTGAAGCACCTTAGCACAAATCAAGGCTGTGGCATCAAACTGTACCAATAATGACTGTATTCTTTACCACCACTCAACTTTAAGAAAAAGAAAAGAAAAAGCCAGTTTCACTTAAAAGTATCCCTGATGAAGCAGTAAAAATCCTTAACTTTATTAAATCTCAACTCTTTAGTACACTTTTTAAGTATTATATGTGATGTAATGGGGAGAATGCTGATGATAACTCAAAAACAGCTGCAGTCATACATCATCAGGGATCTGCCAGAAATTTAAGTTGGATATAGAAGAGAGCCTGGAATGAGGAATATCAATGCTGGTATCAAGTGGATCTTGGCCAAAGCAGAAAATACAAAAATTATATTTCCCTGTGTTTTATTGATCACACAAAGACATTGGACTCTGTGGTTCATAAGAATCTGTGGCAAATTTTACAAAGAATGGAAATTCTAGAACACTTAGTTGTGCTCATGCAGAACCTGTATGCAGATCAAGAGATACTTGTTTCAACAGAACAAGGAGATACTGTGTGGTTTAAAATGGGAAAAGGTATGTGGCAGGGTTGTTTCCTTATACCTTACTTATTTAATTTGTATGCTGAATGAATAATCCAAGAAAGTGTACTATATGTAGAAAAACACTGCATCAGGATTGGAAGAAGATTCTAGCTGCAGATGACACAACCTTGCTTGCCTACAGTATAGACAACTTGAAGCACTTACTGATGAAGTTCAAAGATTACAGCCTTAATATGAATTGCTTGAACATAAATTGCTTGCAGATCCTCACAACTGGACCAGTAAACAACATCATGATAAGTAGTGACAAAAACTCTCACTGCCATCGAGGCGGTTTCAACTCATAGCAACCCCTCCTTAGGTTTCCAAGGCAGTATCTCTAATGAAATAGATTGCCCAGTCTTCCTTCCAAAGAATGGCTGGTGGGTAGTGAAGAAATTTAAATTGTCAAGGATTTCATTCTGCTTGGATTAATAATCAATGTCCTTGGAAGCAGCAGTCAAGAAATCAAACGACATATTGCATTGGGCAAATCTGCAAATGACCTCTTTCAAGAGTTAAAAAGCAATGATTCACTTTGGTGAATAAGATGCACCTAATCCAAGCCATGGGGTCTTTTCATTCACCTCATATGCATGTGGAAGCTGGACAATGAAAGAGGAAGATCAAAGGTGAATTGAGCATTTGAATTTTGGTGCTGGGGAAGAATATTGAAATAATCATAAAAGAAGAATGAACAAATCAGTCTTGGAAGAAGTACAGACAGAAGGCCCCCCTAGCAGCAAGTATGGCAAGATTTCAGCTGACTTACTTTGAACACATCATCAGCAAAGAGCAATTATTAGAAAAAGATATCATTTTTAGTAAAATGGATACTCAGCAAAAATGATGGAAACTCACCATGGGATGGATGACACGGTGGCTGTAACAAAGGGCTCAAATATACCAATAATTATGAGGATGGTACAGGATCAGACAATGTTTCTTTTTGTTATACATAAGGTTGCCATGAAGCAGAGCTGACTAGAAGGCAACTAAAAACATTGGGAAGTATGCATAAAGCTGCTTACCGAAGGATAATTGTTGTCTTAAGGAAAAGTACTTATTTGAGTTACAAGCTTAACCTAGCTGTTTTTCTTTGTCATAATGTTTACTTGAAAGAACAACTTGCAGCAACCTAAGGTGTTCATATTTGGAATTACAGCAAACATTTTAACAAAAATAGATGTAGGGAGCCTGTAACTTCAAGGAAAATAACCAACAAGCTTGACAAATATCAAGCTTTTTAAGCTAAAATCAGAATTTTGGAAAATTTCTATTCCCCTCCAAGTGTGTGACAATTTCTGAATATTCAAAGTATTTTCTGAAAAGATGAGTGCTGCTATTAATGAATTTTATATTTTGATATTGTATAATAAAATGAGTCAATATTTAGAAGATCTGAACAATTCAGTGAACCAGTATTTTCCAAAGGACCAATGTATCACAGTACACAGCAATGCCTGGGTAAAAAGTCTATTCAAAATAGAAAATAAACCAGTGGATTTTAATGTAACAGAGTATGAAAATTAATGATGTGACCTAAGATTACCCATTGTAATTAACCTTTTAAAAAGTATCATTTTTCAAATTTCCATAGAGTGTCAAAATAAACTCTCAATTATCTGAAAATGGTATTAGAATATCCTCCCCCTTTTTTCCACATATCTCCTCTTTCATAAATGTATATATAGCCCAATTTTCTTTATTTATTTCAATCAAAATACATGAAATACAAGGCAGAAGCAGATATAAGAATTCAAATGTCTCAGCCCAGCTATTTAAAAGGTTTGCAAATATGTAAAACAATGCCACTCTTCCACTTTTTAAAAGTATAATTATCTTGATAAAATATGTCATTAATGTTAACATGTAATGGGCTTATTATTTTTCCTTTTAAATAAGTTGATAAATAAATATTTTAAGACTTTTTAGTTTTAATCTTTAATAAAGAATATGAATAGATATAAATCATACAAATAAAAGATATATGTAGTGTTCAATCAGCATTTGCACAGGGTGATAGCTCAGAGGGCAAGAATGCATAAGAAAGAAGGACACAGGGAAAAGGTTACCAAATGGAGAAACTGGGAAGAGCACTGTTACTTTATGGGGATTGCAATCAATGTCATGAAAGAAAATGTATATGAACTGTTGAATAGAAAATAAATTTTCTCTGTAAACTTTCACTCAAATCACAAAAAAACAGTTAGTTTTTAAGAATGTATAGGAGCCCTAAGACCACAAAGTTTGAGAACATTTGTCCTAAGATGAAATGTATTCTAAGCCAGCAGCCATTGTGACATCAGCTCCAGGTCAATGATCACCATATAAAGGATTCCATGCAGTTGACCACAGAATTATCTACTTGGGCTGTCCTATAAGAATTTAACCACCAAAAATTGCCTACTGTTTCCTTCAATGTTCTCCATATTGAAATCTACCAGCTGGCATTCTAGTTACCAGCAAAGACATCCAGAATCGTAAGAGAAAGACCATTTAATTCTGACATTGTTTCTCCCTGTGATTCTGATCAGGCTTTCTGACACCTTGACTCTTGTTTCATTATGAAAGATGTACAAACTTCAAACCAAAGGAGTAAAATCTGCTGCTGGACAATATGGACTTCAAATGTCTCTAAGATCAGACAATCTCTTAAAAATGTTTACCATAAATGCAAGATTCCACATCTATATTCAACTAGATACCCAAGTACGGCTTCCTGTGATTTTGCTCAAGATGACATCAGCACTGATGAAGAAATGAATCGTAGAGTAACGCTCCAAGAGATTAAAACCACCCAAAGTGAACTCCTCAGACAAATGACTGGTATTGTTACTTCAGTAATAAAAATCCAGGAAAAGAATGACCTTTACCAGAAGCAAATGGAGACAATACAAATGAGAGTGAATGTTAACAAAGACAAACAATGTACAATAACTAACAATATCTTCTCTGTAAAAGAAGACATTGATGTCTTAAAGAAGAAGATGATGGAATTAGAAAACCAGAATTCTTACTCTAGCATACCTTGTTTAGAGGTTCTGGAGGGAGAAAAAGATCAAGAAATCATAGAAGTGCTTCAAAAACTCATACAATCAGAAACTCTGAAGAAGACATCAGTCTCTACAGACTCTAGAATCTCTTCAAGAACAGCAGAGGAAGTGCCCAGTTATCTAGGACCCACTGGTCATCTTAAAGAAAAAGCAATGTCTCCCAAAATTAAAACTCTGAGGAAAAGTTACCATTCAAACACATCAAAACGCTTTAAAAACGCAGAGTCAAATATTTGTATCTACCCAGACTTTAGTAAATGGATCAAGCTAACTTTTGTCCATGGAGGAAAGTGGACATTTTTCCTTAGTGCTACCAAGTTGGAGGAATTCATCCAGTGGCTTCTTTCTAGGCCAACCGTCCTTCCTGAGGAACCCCAACTCATCACCCAGAGATACTGTCCATTTGCCAGGCCTATTGCAAGCTTGACCACAATGTGTCTCTCTGTTTTCAATTACGTTTACTGCCTCTTTGGTTCCTCCAAAGAGGAAGTAACTCGACTATAGAATTACTTTGTGATGTACTTGACACAAAATAAAAGAAACCTGGTTGGTACAAGAAGTCACTCATCTTTATGGTGCCTGTGAACTACTTGGTAGAATGCTTATTGTAGTTTATTGCCCACTTTCATTGAACTTTCTATACATCTCCAGTAAGGAGCTCTGGTATGCAGTGGTGAAAGCATTCAGTGGCTAACCAAAAGGTCAGCAGTTCAAACTCATCAACCAACCAACCACTGTACAGGAGAAAGATGAGGCAGTCTGCTTCCATAAAGATTTACAGCTTTGGAAACCCTACAGGGCAGTTCTACTCTGTCCTATATGGTCACTATGAGTTGGCTTGACTCAATGGCAGTGGATTTTTTGTTTTTTACATTAAGTTAGGGCATATCATTCCATTGAACTACTGTGATCCATTTTCCTGTCAACGTTTTTGTTTTCTAAGAGGCAATTCATGAGGACTCAACCAATGTCTGTTTTCATAGATAATTGGAAGCAGGAAATAAAGGTGCTAAAGAGAAATGTGAAAGCTATTTGGTAACCCCTCAGTCAGTTTTCTATATACTCTTATCCTAATGGCCTTGGCAGATAAAATTTATGATAATAGAGACAAAACTTTGAAACTAACAAAATTTTAAATGTTACAGAGCAAAAAAGATAACCTTTGTTAACTATGGCCCTTAGATACCCTTGAACTAGGAACTGAACTTAACCCCCATGTCTCATCTGACAGCCAAATGGTAGACCACAAGGTGAATGGTAACATCAGGAGAATATGCACTCATTGAAACAATCAAGTATATGAGATCAAGAGGAAGGCATTTGCCCAGAGTAGAGGTAGGAAGGTTGGGCAATCCTACTTCCGTAGTGATACTGCCTCGGAAACCCAAGGAGGGGTCGCTATGAGTCGGGCCGACTCGACGGCACATAACAACAACAACAACAAAGAGGTAGGAAGGTGGGAGAGGATAGGAAGGAAGAATAAATGAAATGGGTGGGTGTAGGGAGAAAGTGGGAAGAATGCTGTTATAGCCCGGGGCTCACAGTAAATATCACAAAACAAAATGTGTATGCACTGTTGAATAGAAAACCAATTTGCCAATTTGCTCCATAAATTTGCACCCAAATCACAATTTTAAAAAAAAGGAAAGAAAGAAGGCCACTGAAAAGATAAGTAATGGCAAGGAAAATACTAATTCCCGAAAGGAAGTTTTTCTTTCAACGTTAGTTTCAGATCTATAAACCAATTAGATAATGGGGGAAAGGTCAAATATACCACTGGGTGAAATTTACATTTCCATGAAATGAGACAAATACATGTCCTGTAAGTTCAATTCAGATAAAAAAGGGAAATCTAAGGAGGAGGTTTTGAAGCAAATAAATCTCAACAGTATAATACCATAGACTTATATAAGCTATTTGTAAAAGCCATATGGTATATATCCAGGGTGGGCTTCATATTAAGTAGCTGCTATCTTAATGTTATTTTTCTAAATATTATACATGCTAGCTATTAAGTCTTTCCTGCACTATTTAACTCTGTAAATACAACCCTCCAGCAATCTTTTGGGGCTATATGTTGTTAAATATATATATATATATATAATTGATAAATATACTACTTTTAATACTTTTAAGTTAATAACTTGAAAGGGGGCTTTGGCAGTTAGCTGGGAACAAACAAGTTTTGATGAAGAAAAGAAGATAGAAAAAGGAAACTAAAGAAATAAGGTAATAACAAAGACAATTTCGTCTGGTGCGTATCTGGTAGTAATTATATAGTACAATTTTTTTCATTTACAAATACATTTTATTTCATCCTTCTTCATATATTTAGAGAGGCTTTAGGTCATATAAGCTGTTAACATGTTTGGCTGCTAATCAAAGGGTTGGAGGTTATGCAGAGGTACCTCAGCAGAAAGGCCTGGCAATCTAATTCCAAAAAATAAACCATTGAAAATCCTTGGAGTACAGTTCTACTCTGACACACACGGGGTCTTTATGAGTTGGAATCAACTATATGGTAACTGGCTTATAAATTTTCAAATAAGAAGCTTACAGAAAACTTTTTAGATACAACAGTATGAGATAGCTACAGTGTGGTTGGTACTATCTACCTACCTATTTAAGAGCAAAGTTAAAAATCATATTAAAAAAAATAAACTCACCGCTGCTGAGTTGGATCTGACTCATAACGACCCCTCCTTGGGTTTCTGAGGCGGTGTCACTACGGAAGTAGATTGCCCAATCTTCCTTGCAAGGAGTGGCTGGTAGGTTTGAACCGCCAGACTTCTGGTTAGCAGTCAAATGCCTTAGGCACTATGCCACCAGAGCTCCTAAAAATCATATGGATTTACTTAAAATGAGATGACTGCACTCACAAAGTTTTGTTCTGATAAAGTCGCTAGCAATCTCTGTATTTATTCACCATCAGAGAAATCCCTAATTTATTCACTATCAGAGAAATCCCTAAAGAACAGTTAGGGTTCCAGTTGGGAACACTTGTGCAGCTCTCACTTCAGAAGAGTAATGACAGAAGGTGAGCCACGCCTCACAAATGGCTGCCGGGAGAGAAAGAAGTGATCCAGCTGGTGAATGTCTGGGTCATCTAAGCCTCTGTAGATTAGTACACAATTTCAAGGTAAATAGGATGAGGATTCCTCCAACTCACACACTCTTTTGTCGTTGTTAGCTGCCCTTGGGTTGGCCCACAACTCACCGCAACCCCACATACAATGGAAGAGTCCCACGCCTTCCTTATGGTTGCAGATGGGACCATTGTGCTCCAGAGGGTTTTCATTGGTTGATTTTCAGAAGTAGGTCGCCAGGTCTTTCTTCCTAGTCCATTTTGGTCTGGAAGTTGTGCTGAAACCTGTTTAGCACATCAACACACGGACCTGCACTAACAGACACACATGCCCCTTAAGGTTTCTGAAGAAGCACAGAGTTGAAGAAAAAAACAGAGGACTGGAAATCAAAAAACCTAATTTGTTAACCATCCTAAATCCTACCCTTACTAACTCTATTATTTAATCTCAATCAGGCTTGTTTTGCTATCCATAAAAACGGACTCATTATATTTAGTAAACATTTTTTCCGTGTTCACTAAGTGCAAGGAATCATGGAGGATAAAAGTAAAAATACAATTCCTGTGCTATAGACACTTAACACTGAGTGGGAAAGATAAGACTGTACACAAAAACAGTAATGTATGGTAGACATGGATGGGCAACAATGAGCAATATAAAAAGGGCTCCAGGTACAGAGAAGGAAGACAGTCAATGAGTCTTGGAGTAGGGCAAGAACAGTGTACCAGGCGGAAAGAAAAACATAAACAAGATCACAAAATTGGGGGCTGACAGGGAATGTGGGATATAAAAGTCACCAAGCATTATTTACACGTAAAGTGCTGATAAAAAAAAGTGGTTTTTTTTTTTTGTTTGTTTGTTTGTTTTGTTTTGTTTTTAACAACAAAACAACAAGCATTATTTATTTACACGTAAAGTGCTGACAGGTTATTATTTCGACCCTTTCGTGGATCTCATTTTCTTCTTCAGGGATTCCCACAATGTTGACTGTTAGAGGGGGATAAGGTAAGAGGGACTCTACATTACTCAGGGTCTCAAACTTCCCCTGGAGATGAATGTTGGTCCTGTTAAGTCATCTAAGTTTCTTGTGAGAAAAGGGAGGGATTTTCTTTTCAGCCAATTATTTATGATCATTACCTACACAAGGAAGGTCTCATCTGACATGATAGAATTATCACTCAGCTTGTAACTACATATGAGCAAATTAACTTTCCCGTCTGTGCTTGCTAATTAACCTCCTCTCCATGCAGCTCACCTCCTTGGCACCTGACTCAGAGGAACTAGTGTTTCTCTTGTCCACATTCTTCCTCATATTGTTTGCTGGATCTTCAACAAACATTTCCTTTCTTTTCTCTGTAATTAATTCCTCTGTGATTTGATTCCTGGCCAGTGTACCACAAGCCCATCACACATTAGTCAGTGGAAGCTTGTGTGTTGCTATGATGTTGTTATGATGCTACACAGGTTTTGGTGGAACTTGCTGACTAAGACTCAGAAGAAAGGCCTGGCAATCTACTTCCAGAAATCAGTCAGTGAAACCCTGCAGATCATCATGGTCGGAGCTCAGCTGATCACAGGGATGGTATAGGACCAGGAAGTGTTTCAGGAAGTGCCAGGGGGCTCAATGAATTGAGATTGACTCGAAGGCAGCTAACAAGAAAGCACAAAGGCTTTGGTGTCAGACCAACCTGATTCCAGAGCACTCTCTGTCACTTACTAGCTGTGTGACTTTGGATTTACACCAAAGCTTACGTTCCAAAAGGCTTAGTGTGCTTAGTCCTAAAAAAGAATAAAATCATAGGTTGTTGTTAGGAATAATGAAGGTCATTGCGTGAGCCTTTAGTAATCTTACTGATGTACTAGATGGGTAAAATTAATTATATCTATTATCATTACGCTTTCATTCTCATCTTTCTATTACAATTTTACATGCAAACAACCAATCGGTGTCACTAAATATCTGGCAGATTTTTTTTTTCAAATCTTCTTTTTCCTGCAGCTCCTACTGTCTTGGATGCTCTTCTTCCCTTTTTTTGTAATCTGGAGAGTAAACAATAATATGCCATTTGAGTTTCAACCCCCTAATTTTTTTTTAATTCAGACACACCTTTCCTTGATCCTTACCCATTGAGAAAGAAGAGGGGGCTCCTTTACTCCTGCCAGAGCCACATTGTAATTTTGTGTTCACATGTCTGCCGTCTTCACAAAACCATGAGCTCTTGATGACAGAGCTGGACTCTTACCTATCTGTTTTCTTAAAACCAAAATCAGTTTTACTGGTAGGTTCTCAGTAAATGTTTTTCAAATGAGGAGAAAAAAAATGACAGGAAAGCATCATTATTCTGTACAAAAAAAAATTTATAAATATAATTATATGATTGTCTATAATGTATATAAATTAAAATGAAAACCAGTTTA